TGTAGGAGCTGTGCAGAACACTAGAGACTATCCTTCACAGGGACTAGAAGTTCCTTTTAAGGTTAACGATTGTCTGCATCCCATATCTTCTGTGGAATGAATGCCATGGCATCCCTTCTAATCAAACATTAAATCCACACAAAGCTGATAAGTATTATAGAATCCATATCTCATCCCAGTCCCTTCTTAGGGGACTAAGAAGTAGTCCCCTACAGCATACAGCTGTTCTGCCAAACCAGAAAGGAAAATGGTTCTTCCCAATATCCCCAACTTCCTCTTGATCCAAAGAACTTCTTGATATCTGAAAGATGGAAGGAGAAATTACCGCAACTAACTGCAATCTGAGTGGCTGTCTGGCTGTAATAGAAAGAAGTAGAAATCATCCTGATTTAGGTTTTTTCTTGTTCCTTGTGGAGGACTGTACCTGCATCGCTACCACCAAAGGTTCTTTATATACTGCATTTGAGACTGTGACTGGGCTTTTGTGCAGAAGCTGAGTAGGGCTATGTGATCAAGGCATGCTACATCCATGGATTTTGTGGTTTCTGGGACTATGCCTGGTACACATGCAGAGCTAGGATGGGGCAGGTGGTCTCTGTCAGAGCTTGTTCCTTCACGGCCCCTGGGAAATTGTTTCTCAAGGCATAGCAGCTCTCAAAGGCAATCCAGAGACTCATGCTGCCTTTACAAATCTCTGCAGCCAGTGCCCTAATTCCACCAGAAACCTCCTAAGCACAGTCCTTCGCTCGATACATATACACTTAGTCATGTGAGCATCTGGACCGTGGCCTATTGAGGAGCAGACAGAGGGGATGTTCCTGCATGTTATTTTATAACCTACCTATTTTATAACCTCTAGGGGTTGTAGGCATGTAGATGTGTGCAGCACCATTGCCATGCTTTTCCCTAAACTGTGCCCCAGGACTACTGATCCTGGGACCAAGGGTGTAGATGTCCAAGGGATTAGTGGAGTGCTCTCTCCTCCCCTGAAGATCTGTTCAAGATATCCATGCTGGCAGCACACACACCACCTGAAACCATGGTTTCACCAACCTCCGAAATGTGGTTTTACCACCTCATCAAGAACATGGTATTCATCTAATTGAAATGAATGCAGAACCACTTGTCAGTCCTCTCCCACTCTGCAGCAGGCTTGATATTAGCAACAGGGTGGTACATCTGCTGGGGAAGCTTTTACAGCAGTAGGAAAAGGAGCAAACAATAATTAAGAAGAGTAATAGAACAGTGAAGAGGCTGATCAAGGAGTGGGGGGGAGTAGGAAGGAGCACTTTCTTTAGTAGTCTCGGAAGAAGAATACGGTGGATAAGCTGAAGAGCGTAAGGTGACTCTCTGCCTCTGGTTTAGAGAATGCATATGTGACATGGCTCTTTTTAGCCCATGGGATGCAGTTCAGGATATTTCAGGAGCTCTCGTTTTTTGAATAATCCTTTTCTGTTTAGCTTGCGTTGAAGGATTCCATACTTGTGAGACCTAGTCAGTGTTCAAGCCAGTAAGTTTGAAATTCCTCCTTTGAGCATTTTGAGTGGGATTTCTGGTTTAGTATCTTCTAGGAAGAATTCTTTTGGCATGGACCAAAACTGCTTGCAATAACTACTAGGGATTTACTTCAGAACTGCATTACTTGCAAACCTGAGCTGCTAATATAGCTGTAGTAAAAGCTGGTGGCTGTGTAAAAGTAAAACCATGCTCACTGGGGACTTGCATTTAATGGAAGTGTAATTTATGCCCCAATCTTCAGAGCTGAAAGCTTACTTGAGTTTCTTATTATATCACTTGGTCTCAAGTGATTTTATTACTGAAGTGTCAAATATATTAAAGTGATAGAGCAATCTTAAAATGGAAGAAAAGTGGAGAAATAGCGTGTTAGTTTTTGAGTGATAAAGTATACTACACTGTCTTAATGTAAACCATAAATGGCAAAGCAAAGAAAGTGGAAGATTTCATGGCTTTTAACAATTTAATGAAATGTCAATACTCATGGTTCCCCAATCCCCTTCTTTTTAGAAAGTGATTGCTTGAATGTTTCAGGGCTACCACATCAGTCTGTAGGGCAATGTAAACCTGCTTTCAAATGTTCTCTCGTCTTCCAAGTAGTTGCAGATAGAGACACTGTTTTATTATATTGTCCAAATGTTTCCTGGCTGTCAGAAGGATGAGGGAAAGGGCACAAGGAAAATCATAAACACCCATATATTGTATTGGATTATTGTCTTCAGTGACATTAAACTCTCTAGGGTGGGGAGGTTAAGTGCAGACAAGTGCTTACTGGATTTGCACAGCTGACATGTGGTTCCTGTCTACAGCATGCTGCACATGTTCGGCTTTAAATACAATTTACCTCTGTTAGGTTTCACTAAAAATAACTGCAGTACATGCAGATCTCTTCACTGTCTCCCTCCTACTACCAAAACCAAAGTCATATAGCTTGTATACAAGCACTGGGAGTCTTCTATTACAAAATTACTAATGGTGATGTTTAAATTATGCTTTTTCCTTTAGCAGGCAAACATTGCCTTTTTAATAATCATTAATAATTATTTATGAAATAAATATAGTAAACAATAATAATACTTGTCCATTGTGCTTAACATTTTATTGTCCACTACACACACTTAACACTGACTATAAAAATACTCATTTGATATTGTTTTCATTGCCTCTGGCCTTTTTGTCAATACTCTGAGTCTCACAAGCAGGAAGGATAATGATTAGTTTTCTCATTTCTTTGTGAGAAGGTGATGTTAGCTCTGTGTTACAATAAGTTTGCAGATTTTAATTTTTTCACTGTAGGAGGTATAGAAAACTAATTTACCTTTGGAAGTAGAGTTGTTAGCTTTACTTACAATTACTTTCACCAATTCTAGCTAGAAATGGTATGGTGATGACAGCCTTATAAACATACTCTCTCTGTGGTTGAAAATAACAGCAGGGATTTTTGCAGTGTTTATAGAAAATGGAACTTATGCAGTTATCTTCTGATGCAAAAGTGCATGCTTGAGGCTTCTGTGCTTCCATTTTTTCAATCCTCAGGCAGAAGTGTAGAAATATGCATAGTTTGATTGTGGATGTGCTGTGAATTAATGCAATGACAGAGCAGATGCATCTGGAGCTTCTGGATGTTACTGTCTCATGTTACTGAAAGTCTGAATATAGGTTTCCACAGAAGACAGAAGCAGAGAGCAATTATCCTCTTCAGTGTATGTATCATATAGAGTTCTAGGACTGTGCGTAGCTACTCTTTAAATAGAGAAAACTCAAATTTTTAAATAATATAAATGACAGTAATTTCAAAGAAAATCTACCCTCCTGACTAGCTCATCCTTGAAAAAGAGGTTCCTTCCCTTCTGTGCTGCTTGCATGTGTATTATTTGCTTAGGCTGCCCCCATTGCTTACATTATTTGGTGGGTCACTAAAAACATTCTTACTGCTTCAGAACCTTGAATGGTTTTTATTCCACAGGCAGTATCCCACTGCTGCTCTCAGGAGTTTGTCTCCTCTTTCCTTTTTTTTTCTGATAGTACCTGAAGAAGAGAGTCTCTTACAAGACTAAATTTTACTTGAAACCTTATCTATGTGAATAAATGAGGACTAATGCCGTACGGGTAAGATTTGAGGAATTTATGCATGAGTAGATTTATGTTACATTGATCGTAAAAGAAATTAAAACCTTTAAACTTCTTATGTTTATTGTAGTATTTTCTAGTAATTGGCAAGCTCTTAAAGAATAGTTTTACTACGATAGGTAAGAAGAGTTCCCCTGTAAGGCAGAGCAACTCCTTTGTTCTGAACTTAGATTTGTCTTCACTTAGCCCAAGAACTTCCTAGAGAATGTCTTATAATTAATGTAAAACAAACGCAAGCAAAACTCCTGTCCTTTTATTGACATGTAACAATGTTTATGGAGTATTCCAGCTCACAACTTCCTGGGGATTTTCTCCTTCCATCCTGTTCTCAATAAGTTTATTAGTCTACTTGATTTCTTCTTAGTCTACAGTTTTTCCTGTTAACCTCTCTTAGCCTGTGTGTTGTGCACAGTTACAGCTCTACACATGGATGTCTAATTGAAGAATTGAAAGGCAGTGAGCAGGATTAGGTACTGAGTATTACACAGCTATCAGCCTCTGGAACTCAAGAAAAACTCTGATAGGTGAGTTCATTCAGTTGCTCTTAGGGAGTTAGGAATTTGCTTTTCCTTCAGAAGATGCCACATTTCCGTGCCACAACAAGTAGGTGGGAACAAGTGCACAGTGCTTGTCACAGGCTCCCATGCTCACTCTAACAGAAGTAAGTAGTCGATCCTGGCATACTAATGAAATTTTCAATACTACTTTTGTGACAGAATATTGTGTACTGTCAATAAGTATTTTCTCATGGTGTTTCAAAGACATTGCTGCTGATCTGTCTATCACATTTCTTGAGTTCCAATTCTTTGCTGCTGTACATAGTCTGTCTTCAGGTTTCTGCACAGCAAAAATGAAAATCTGAAAATGAGAGCAAAAATAGCCTTTTAAATCTAAACACGTTTCTCTGAATTTGTATTTACTTTTGGTTCAGGTTGTAAGCTTTCTTGTCTCAGATTATGAGAAGTTTCTGACACTGTAATAGAGAAAATATTACTACATATTGATTTCTGTTTCAAACTTTGCTGGTTAGGACAGAATTTGCACTATGAAATGCCCTGCTTTAAAATTTGCAAAACATTACTATTGATTTTGTTTTTTGCTATAATAAGAACAATAATTAGCCTCATTCCATTTTTATTTTATGGAAAAAAAATGTATTAGAGAGGTTTTTTTACAAAAAGGAAATTGTCTTAAATTTATTGAACCTCGATTGCATTGTTCATCAGCTTTCCATATCATACAGTCTTGTCTCCTTAATGTCCTGCATCTGTTGACTGTGTAAAAGTTGTTTACATATGGGGCACCAGTAGATCTGGAGAAACTTTTAATATGTTGTGAGTGTTTTGTCATTACAGGTCTCCAAGTTAGCTGATGTCATGATCAGACATGGTGTGAAGAAAGGAGATCGTGTGGTCATCTACATGCCCATGATTCCACAGACAGTGTACTGCATGCTGGCTTGTGCAAGAATAGGAGCCATCCATAGCCTGATTTTTGGTGGATTTGCATCTAAAGAGCTTTCTGTTCGCATTGATCATGCAAAGGTAATAACAGATTGTATCGGGTCTGGCTGAGCTGGAGTTCATTTCCCCATAGCAACCCTCACAGTGCTGTGCTTTGCATTGCTACCTAAAAGGGGTTGATAACACACTGGTGTTATCACTTGCTGCTGCTGAGCAGTGCTGGCACAGCACCAGCTCTATCTCTCAGCATTCCTCCCCCCATCCCCGATTGAGGGCAAGATCCTGGGAGGGAACACAACCAGACCAGCGGACCCAAATTAACCAAAGAGATATTCCATACCATCAGCTCAGATATAAGAGCTAAGGGAAGGAGAAGGAAGGGAGAGCATTTGTTGTTTATGTTTGCCTTCTGAGAACCACTTACATGTGCTGAAGCCCTGATGCTCGGGAAGTGGCCGGACATCTCTTGCTAATGGGAAGTAAAGAGTAAACCTTGTTATATTCCTCTTTGTGTGTGCATGCAAACTTTCACTTTTGCTTTAGTAAACTGCCTTGTCTCAACCTACAAGTCATTTTCCATCTTACTCTCTCTCCCTTGTCCGACTGGGAAGGGGTGTGATAGAACGGCTTTTGTGGGCACCTGCCGTCTAGCCAAGGTCAGCCCACTACACCTATTTGGAGTGATAAACACCATTGCATTAGTTACTAGTATAAGTCAATATAACAAGCTTGTTGCTTTTGTTTTTTTTTCCAGAGAGGGTAACATTTTTCTTTGTGTGGCACGCAGTCTCAATTTGTGTATAATGTGTAATGTTGCAATATGAACACAGTACTACGTCTCTGCTGAGGCTAATACTTGTATAACAGACATTGAGTTATGAATTTTCACCCCTTTTAAAAAAGCATGAGTTTAACACACTACTGTCTGTATAGAGCGTACTTTCTTCTCCCATTGGTCAATCTTTTTGTACAAAGCATCGCCTTAACACTGGCTTTATGTCCAGCATTTTCATCAAGTGTATGAGAAAAATGCTGCCAACCCTAAATAATTTCATTGGTTTATTTGATGTTTAGACATGTTAGGTAGTACGTTTTTTCAGCTATGTTGTAGTTTAGGAACGGTATTCCCCAAGTTAGTGTTCCCACTGAAATGTTTCAGATCGCACACTGCTCGCTCACTCCCCTTTCCCCTCTGTCTCCCTCTGCGACAGGATGGAGAGGAGAATTGGAGGCAGGAAAGGTAAAGATCACAGGTTGAGATAAGAATGATTTGCTGGAAACAGAAATGAGATAAAAAAACAAACAGTAACAGCAACAATATTAATAACAGAGTGTACAAGGAAGGCAAATGATTCACATGCAAGTTCTCCCCATGCGCAACTGGCGCTGCCCGACCACTCCCTCTGCCACCTACCTGGAAGGAACCCATCCCCCTCGCCACCCTGTCTATGGCATGAGGTGGTATAGAATAACCTCAGAGTCCAGGCTGTGCCTCTCTTGGTTACTGCAAAAATTAACCCTGTCATTGCTGGAACCAGGACAAACTATAATTCTACTTCATTTAATTTCTACATGAATCAGGGCAGCTATGGAACCAGTTGCCTTAAATAAGTGACTCTGTGAAGAACATAATTAGCAGAGCTCAATGCTTTAAAGGCTTCTGTGTTCGGCATAAATTGATCTTGTTTATGAGGGGTTATGTAAGTCTGTGTTAGTGAAAATGCGAATAGTACTTTACTAATCTACTTAGTAGCTTATGTATGCATTAGTTTCAACTGGAATGGTCTGTTCTTATGTTCTGCTCGTGAATAAGACCAAGTCCTTGTCATCTTGATCAGTCACCTGGATCATTCAGACTATCTGTGAATCTATCACTGAATCATGTTGCTTAGACAGGACATTGTGCAGGGTAAAGTCCACAGGACTTGTGGACTTACTTAGATTTCTGTGTACAGAAGTGCTTTTCAGATGACCAAAGTTTGAATTTTGTAAATATCTGTAAATAAAAAGTTGAATGCATTTCCCCTCCTCTCCTTAGTGCTTTAACAAAGTTAATAAAATGGTTGGCTGGAATGGTAAAAAAAAATGGTAAAAAATGGTAAAAAAAAAAGGCTAACAACAACTCTAGTTTTCCCTGTCTTTCTTCCCACTTCCCCACTTTTTTAACAAGCTGTAAAAAGTAATGTTAACTCACAGAATTAGGGAAAAATAATGTAAAAGAAAAACGATAAACTTTAAAAATGGAGGTTGCTATAATACAAATCATCTAGCATGTTTACTCTTAGAGTATTTTGCAATTATTGCCTAATTAATCCCAATGGTTTCTCTCTGGGGAACAGAGGGAGACAGCACAGTAATCATAATCCTTGCTTCATGTATTAAAATGAAAATGGAGAAAGTGTAAATGTTTTACCGGAGGTCACATAGCAACTCTTTTGAAGGGTTAGCTGTAGAATTACTAGCTGCAGGCCATGGATTAAATCCTAATTTACATTGCTTTTTGGTTTCTTTAAAAGGCAGATATAAGTATTATGGATGATTTTTGGTCCATCTGATGCATAATGAAAATGTGAGTAAAGAGGAGAGGCACATCCTCATTCTGAATTTCAAAACATGTCCCAATTTTGCAACATGGTAAAACTTTCATCGTAAGTGAATTGCACGCTACTGACTTTTTTTTAGGATTTGTATATACAAGTACCTGTGATAGATGGTATTCTTCTGAACTCAGAAGTTAATTAAAGCAGTCTCAAAATAACCTAACCTTTTTATTAGGCTTTTATGTGAATTGGTTTAGATGCTGCAATACAGGACCTCATGTTGGTGAGATTAAGTAGAAAGAGTTAAGAATGTACAATGGAAATCTGGCTGTTAGATGCTTTTGTGGAAAAGAAAGTAAAATTTCACGTTCACTTAGAAGACCTGAGTGAAAGAAATAACAAGAACTTTCTACTGACTATGAAAAGGTACATACACGTTACCATTTTACCTAAATTTATCTTGAATTTAAAATAGGGAATGCTGCAAAGTCCTGCAGCTGGTAATTTCTACTCATGTCAGGTATTGGCAGTTACAGGTATTCTTCACTGAATTTTGATGAAGTGATACAGACCATGAGAACAGAATTTTTTTGTCTTTTTTTACCTGAATCTGAGAATATATAATTTGCAATATCAAAGCAATAGGTAGGTTCATAGAATCATAGAACAGTTTGGAAGGTCATCTAGTCCAACTCCTATGCAGTGGGCAGGGACATCTTCAACTAGATCACGTTGCTCAGAGCTCTGTCAAGCCTGACCTTGAATGTTCCTGGGGGTGGGGCATCTACCACGTCTCTGGGCAACCTGTGCCAGTGTTTTACCACCATCATTGTAAAAAGTTTCTTCCTTAAATCTTGTATAAATCTAGCCTCTCAGTTTAAAACCATTACCCCTGGTCCCATTGCAACAGGCCCTGCTAGAAAGTTTGTCTCCATCTTTCTTATAAGCCCCCTTTAAGTACTGAAATGCCACAATGAGGTTACCCCAGAGCCTTCTCTTCTCCAGGCTGAACAACTCCAACTCTAAACTTTCCTCATAGCATAGAGGGGCTCTGCCCTTCTGATCATCTTCATGGCCATCCTCTGGACCTACTCGTACAGATCCATGTCTTTCCTGCACTGAGGACCTCAGAGCTGGATGTAGTACTCCTAATGGGGTCTCACCAGAGCAGAGTGGAGGGCAGAATCACCTTGCTTGACCTAATGGCCACGCTGCCTGTGATGCAGCCCAGTGTAAAATTGGCTTTCTGGGCTGAGAGCACCCATTGCCAGTTCATGTCCAGCTTTTCATCCACCAGTGTCACCAAGTCCTTCTCAATAGGGCTGCTCTTGATCCCTTCATCCCCCAGGGTGCATTGATTTTGCAGAGGTTGCCCTGACGCCGGTGGAGGACCTTGCACTTGGCCTTGTTGAATGTCATTAGGTTGTCATGGGCCCACTCCTTGAGCTTGTCCTTGTCCCTCTGGGTGGCATCCCATCCTTCAGGAGTGTCAACCTTTATTGCTTTTACTGAACTATGCCTTGTATGCTATTAGAGACTATAGAAGAATTTGTAGGAGGAGTCTTTACAACAGAATAAAAGTATTGGTCTTGTACCAACAACTTGTACTATTGGGCCTTGCTTTATCTCATTTCTGTTTCATAATGGTTTTTTTTCTATAGCTCGCTATCTCTGGCATTTCTTCTCTAGCAGACCCTTGAACTCTCCTGGTTTTCCTTCAAACTAGTTATATTTCTGTCTAATCTTACCATGCAGAACTACATGGAGCCACAGAAGAGGTGGGAAACGGGTGTATAAAAGCAATATGGGAGTAAAAGTGCAGGGGAAATAATGTCAGTACGCAGAGACGTGAAACAGTAGAAAACAGCAGTTAGAACCAGTAGCGAGCCTTTGATTTGCACAGCGATCCATGATGCTTCTTCACTTGGGTAATGCATCACCTTAGCCAATTTAGTATTGGTTATTTTTAGATGTCCTTACTGCATACAAAGGAGTTGATGAGCAGAGGTGGCATCATTTACAAATGACTGTACAACTAGTGCTGACAGCAGTCTTTCATCTTAACAATTTAATAGAATTGTGTATCTTACATTTATTACAGTCTTAATTTCAGGGTAGCCTCCAGATGAATTTTCAGTTTAACTGCTTTGTATCATCTTTTATTAAATCACTGCAGCCCAAAAGAGAAAGTTGACAAATGCTGAAATTTTAAAGCTCATCTGAAATCTTTATTTGAATACACACCAATTAGGGAACTTCTCTGAATGGCAGATTTGGACAGGAAGCATTTTATTATTGCACAAGAAAACAATTTAATCTGTGTTTTCTCTGCTGAATTTAATGCAGCTTTAACTGTGGCATTGTGGTTTGTGCCTACTTAATGAGATTTATGCTAATGCATACAATTAGTAAACTAGCTTGATCAAACTGAGGGGCGTAAGATAAATACACTTCTGAAACTCCAGAAGGAAGGAAACTGAAGATTCATTCTTTTCCAATTAAAATGTATTCTAACACATACTTTTTTTGGTGGTACCTTTTCTTTCCCAAAAAACAAGAAATAAAAATACTGATCTCAGGACCTAAGTCAAAGTAGCTTGTATGCGTATTTCTGGACTTAGGAAATCTTACATGAAATATGCAGTTAATTTAATGACAAAGTTGTGAAGTCCTCATCTGGAAATAGAGATTATTCTAAAAAACCCCAGAATTACAGAAATCTGATTTTTACTGGTGTGGCATCCTCTGTCCTGCAATCATTACTTGAAAGACTTTAGCTTATTCACTTCCTCAGTTTCTAGTTTCCTGCCATCTCGTTTGCCTTCTTTTCCCTCTTTCTCCTGTTTTTCCTCCTATACCATTGAATTGCAGGCTGGGAAAGAGCCAGCAAAGTGCTATAGCTAGTTTTGAAATATGCAATTGGATGCAATAGAAAGCAGGCTAAACAGGACTGGTAATTGTTGACATCGCTGTACTGCTCTTCCTTAATGGAGGAGCTAAGATGGACCTGGGTTTTTCTCTCTGTGTACATTAATATTTGTGCAACTTAGAAGAAGTTAATACTGTTGATTTCTTACTCAAATTTGTTTGAAGATAGTGAAGAGTGTCTGAAGTTATTAGTGTGCTTCCGAACAAAAAGCACATGAATGGACAGCAAGATCACACAAGCTTGATTTCCTTTAGAAAACCGATCTAAACCCCTGTTTCTAATTATGTGAAGGTAAATTTTATACATTGAACATCATTAATCAAATAATTTAACAGAAAACATGTTATGTGGTTACTTATCTAAAATATATTGCAAATGTATATATTAACAATCTAACTTCTTTTTTTTTAGCCCAAATTTATTGTAACAGCTAGTTTTGGAGTAGAACCGAAAAGAAAAGTGGAATACATATCCCTCCTAGAAGGAGCACTGGCAAGGACACAGAGCAAACCTGATAAAGTTCTCATTTACAAGCGACCTAATTTGGTGGGTGTACACTTGTTCTGACTTTATGTTAACTTTCAGGTGTTTATGTAGTGCATGTGCCTTTTCTTTTTTACAGGTAAAATTTTACTGTATCTATTGTAGTTTGTTTTTTAATTTTAAAGGCAAACATTTTATTCGTAAGATTTAAATAGTAAATAGAACTAATGCATCAGAGAGATTACTGTACAGAAAATTGAATAGTACTGTATAGAAACTTTGAATATTCCATTTGGAATGGAATTTGACCAAATTCCATTTATTCTGTTTGTTTTTCTTTTAACAATTTTCTTATTTTTCAATGGGCAGGGCCACGTTCCTCTTACTCAAGGTCGTGATCTTGACTGGGAAGAAGAGCTTGCAAAAGCACAGTGTTCTAAATGTGTCTCAGTTCCCTCAGACCATCCACTTTATATTCTGTATACATCTGGAACAACAGGCTTGCCCAAGGTAAAGAACTATCTGAAGTCTACATGTCTGTGACCAATCTATTTGCAGTTCCACTTGAGAAAATATTTAATAAAAAAGGTTTAAAATGTTTGCCAGAGCACAATGCTGTAAATGATAAGCATTGCTAGAAATGGTTTAATCTTATTTATTCACATTTCACTAGTTTAAAGGCAATGTATAGGAATAAATCATGTTTGTTTATTTAAATAGTAGTAATATAAAGCTAAGATGCATTTGCTTCAAGATGTTTGTACAATAGAAACTTTTGAGGACAGCAGAACGTCTTTTATCCAGTACTATCTTCTGTGTTTTAACTGTTTTAGATAAGCGTAGTATAGTGACTTAATGGCAAGAGTTGTTAATATATCACCTGTGTGATGTTGCTGACTAGTCTTGTTCATTATTTACATATTAGCTAATTTTCCTGTAGATAAGACATGGTGAATGACGTTATAGATTAAATGGGTTTAAGCATATTCTGAAAACTTGTGTTACTGAACAATTCTGAGGACATAATTCCCCCAAAAAGAAAAGTGTAGATTGAGTAAGTGAAAATTAGCATAGAGTATTTGAAAATGTTTGCTTTTGAATGTAAATTAGTTTTAATGACCTATTTTTAAAGGATTGTATTTTAAAAGAGGGCTGTCTGAATGTTTGCTTGGTACTTATAATGCTCTTTTACAGTGTGTGGAAGACAAGCTGAATATAATTTTCTGTTGCTAGTCTTACAACCACAGATTCAGACAGTATCATATATCCCTGGATATGACAGTGCTTAGACTACTACTAGAAAATTATTTAATCATGTTGCCTATAAAGTTCAGAATCTGTGAGGATGTAAGGGAAAACAAGTATCAGTTTCGCTGAGAAAATTGTCTTCTGCTTTTACCTTCAAGATGGGCCCTTTAAAGCAATACATTTATCTAGAATTATTTTATTGTCAAAAAGCCCAAGATAAGATCCTTTGTTACTACAGGAATTTTCCTTGACTGTGGGTTTCAATATAGTATCTCAGAGATAAAAGTTCTCAGAAGTTTACTTCACTCTGTTGGCTCTGCAGAGAAAAATGTAGACATCTTGAGTGAATCACCCTTATAAGAGGGAGATTGTCAACTAGCACTAACTAAGCTACAATAAGTAACTCAGTGAATAAAATAACTTTTTTATTTGTTTAAGGAACTTAATTTGAATGCTCATGCAACTAAAATTACTCAGTTATGACCTTCATAGCAAAACTGTTGTTAATCTCAGAGCAGGAGCTAAGTTAGAAGCTGAGTCTAACAAAGGCAATCTGCTGTCTGAAAATGGCGAAATGTTAGTTAACCATTCTCTCCCTTAGCAGTCTCCATTTTAATGAGTTAATGTGTCTCTACAGTCCCTCGTTTCTTGGATGAGATCTGAAAGTCCCTCTTTCATTCTATGAAGTACATCAAGAAAATGTACCATGCCTAGCATGGACAGATTGCTGCATTGTAATGTCTGTGTAGAGGCTATTTGAATTTTAGTTCATCTGAATTTTAGTTCAGGACACCAGGACATAGTTTACTTAATTTTTTCCTCTAGGAACAGGGTACTAGAAGGTGAAATATATGAAATCTGTAGTAACCATACTTATATTGCAAAATATTTCCAAAATTTTCCTATAATTAGTCTTCCAGAGCTGGTTATTGGTTTACCAAGGTGCATAATGCTATTGATACTCTCTCATTCTAATTTTCCCTCTTTTAGGTGAACACTGGGATGTTCTTCATTTTGCATTTTTATGTGCACTTCAGGCCAGATATAAACTTTCAAAAGTATACATTTATTTAAGCCAAGTTTCCGATGTCTTTAAAAAAAGTCAGTGCAGAAAGACGGGTATGTTTCAGGGAGTAATTCGCTCCAGTTATCTTAGGGATTGTCCACTTCACAGGTGCCCCTCCTATCCAGTGATGATACAGAGAGACTAGGCAATGAATTTAAAACATGCCTAACATTTAGATGGCACAGTGTGAGGTGAATACTCAATCTCTTATTTTTTGTCAGCATATGTTGACTAAATATTTGTATGTCCAGTTTTTATGAGAGAATTCTAGATTTGTTAATAATCCTCTGAAAACTATTGTCATCTAGGCCTTGGGTTGTGTTTTTGTTTTTTTACTGTATGTTTGTTTGTTTTCCAAAATTACTTCTTTTATGGAAGTGCTAGTACACACACGTTCTTTTTGGAATAGATCGTTTTCTTTAGGAGTATTGGAATTAGACAACCTTAAGTCTATTGCGGCTAAAACCTCAACATGTAATTGAAGACTCAAATTAAATACTCAAATTTTCTCATTTAGGGTGTTGTCAGACCAACAGGTGGCTATGCAGTTATGCTAAACTGGACAATGTCAGCTGTATACGGACTCACACCTGGTGAGGTAATTCCACTTAAATGTCATGTAAATGTGTTTAAATGCCTCTTAAAACTTCTCACTCTAATTATGTTTTTATTTCATTTTAGGTGTGGTGGGCAGCTTCTGATTTAGGCTGGGTTGTTGGTCATTCCTATATTTGCTATGGACCTCTCCTTCATGGGAATACTACAGTTTTGTATGAGGTACGAACCATTCTAAAAAATCAGCCTTGGAAAAGGCAGCATCTCTTCCAGCTGATGATCCAGGTGATCCCATTTATACCTGTCTGTTCTTCATGCTATAGATGTTTGAATTGTGTGTATATCTTAAGTGTTCATACTCTCCTGTCTATTACAGTAATTTTTAAGGAAAACTTATTTCACTGTCCTTCAAGCTTGTCTACTTCAGCTGTGTGAAGGGTAATAGTCAGTGGGGCAAGGAACTCCGAAACAACAGACCTAGAAATGGCAGAAAGCAGAGTATACCTGTGTTGTTGATTAGAGTACCATGTGTTTTGCATGTCTTGAGATGAAAAACTCTGGATCTGAGTTGGATGCATTGAGAGCTCCATGGCTGGAACTAGAACTTCGAAGGAGACTTGTCTCTTCTCTTCTCCCTCTACCACTCAAAGCAACCGAAACCAAGACTGAGATGACATTCAAGTCGTCGTCCTTTTCCTTGTGGGATGAAACTCAGTGGGGTGGAGAGGAGACTAGTCTGAGTGGTCTGTTGCATCCTAACTTTGGTGTTCAAAATAGCAATCATGCTGCCTTACATTGTTATTTTTTCAGGAGTTATTGTTGATTGTCTCTCTGATCATGGAGGCAGGAAGATACAGTGTTGCTTGAACCATCTTCTTTATTCTTCAGGGAGTGTCCAGTATCCATCAGTGATAGTGAAAGACATTTTATGTAAAAGCACTGACATTGTTAGCTCTTAAGCGTGCTGAAACTTGGTTGTTTGCGTCCACTTGACATTAGGATTTCTGGGTATATCCCAGCTTCTCCGACAACATTGGGGAGCATGATGCCCACCTAGTAATTGCTTTGTCTTTTTCAGTGGTCCCAGAGGCAGAAGTTGTTTTAGATATGCCATCATGGCATGCTGATCACCTTTGTTGGTTTGTAGTGATAGCTAGAAACATGTGAATCATTAAGGGAAATACAATGATAACTCAGATCATACAAGAACTGCAGAAGTATAGTGAATGTACTGTATACTGAGGGCATGAAATAAGCTTTGATGACAATGTAAATATAGCAATTATTAGAGCACCATCTGTACCCAGTCCTTCTGGAGCAGGGGAGCCAGCATGACACGGCAGAAACATACTGTTTTATCATATGTGCAGAAGTTCTGCTTAAGAAAATATTTATTACAAGCAAACTTTCTCCATTTTCCTGTTATTACACTGTAGAAGTGAAGATAACCATACTAGAACAAAAATGCATTGTTAGTGTTTACAGAAACAAGCATTGTCAAAACAATCCTTCAATCTTTGCACAACCAGTTAAATTGGTATTGGTTGAGTTGTACTTCACTGTAATGAACTTACGCACTTCTGTTGGTGGGCAGCTGGTGCTGGGGTCGTTCCTGAATTTTGAGTAAATATGTTTCTGAATCCTGGCTACTGAAAAGGCATGGACAGTTGTAATACGGTGAGATTCCCTTCAAATTATTTGAACGCTGCTGTGCATCAGAGACTACAGAACTGACTATGGCTTGCTGCATCCTGTTTTGGAAGTTAGAAGTACACTTTACTGCTTGAAATTCAATGTCTTTGCAAAAATTATAAGTGAGATTTTCACAAGCAGAAGACGCCTCTTGAAGTGGGTCAAGAATCCTCAAGTCCAGAAAAGCAATGGTCATTAGTGATGTGTCTACATGATATTTCAAATCACAGCAGCAGTACAGTTCTGAACTAAGTCCTCCAATTGTCCTTGCTTGTTGATTTGATTAACAGAGGGGTTTTAGTCATATGAATACCATCTTTACAGAGAAAGCTAAGACACAAGTTTTGCTGCTTGGGATCAAATGGTAGGATCCAATGAGTGGGACTGCACTGCTGTGAAGTTTTCTAGGACAAAAGAAAAGCACATGTGCCAACGGGAAGCTTTTAAACAGTTGAGCGCTCAAACCTTATTCTGAAGTGCTTCTCTGCTGTGCAAAAGGGCCAAATGTGATGGGAGACTTCATATTTACTGACTGCCAGGTGTCTGCTTGTTCTGACTTTGAGCTGCTCCTGTAGTTCTCACAAGCTTTTGCATCTGTCCTCTTCACCAGCCCTATTTCTTTTGCTATTACTGCTCTTTCCTGCTGCTGTATTTTGCAATAGTGACAGGCATTGCATTGGCGTCCCAGAATACTGAGCAAGGGGCAATGACAGCATGTGCTCTGAAAGGCCCAAAAGCTTCTCCAGCACCCTTTTACTAATGTCAAGCCTGCTGCAGGATGTGACAGGGCTGACAAGTAGTGCTGCATTAAGTTCCATTAGATGAAGATCATGTTCTTGATGAGATGGAAAAAACATTCTTCTGATGTGGCATGGTGTGTGTGCCCCTACCATAGACATCTTGAATAGATCTTCAGTGGAGGGGGGGAGTACTCCACCAAGCCCACTGATTGTGAGAACATCAACACCCTTAGTTCCAGGGCCAACTGTGTGAGAAAAGTCCAGGGAAGAGTGTACCTAAAGTGCTATACATGTCTATATGTGGATGCCCCATTCCTGGAAGTATTGGAGGCCAGTTTGGATGGAGCTCTGCATGACCCCATGGCAGGGGGGTTGGAACTTTAAGGTCTCTTCTGACCCAGGCCATTCTATGATTCTGTATTTCTGTGATATGTGCCTGCAACCCCCAGAGGACCCCTGGGAGACAACATACGGGAACATCCCCTCTGCCTCAGCAGGCAATAGGCCATGGTCCAGGTGCCCATATAAGCAAGTATGTGTCCTCCTTTCCTGTACATGTATGGACTGTTCTTGGGGGGTTTCTGATTGAATTCACTGGTTGCAGAGCTGTGGGAAGGCAGCATGAGTCTGGATTGCCTGTGAAAGCTGCTATGCCTTGAGAAATGATTTCTGGGGGGCTGTTACATGTTAGAGAAGTTCTGTGAAGGAACAAGCTCATGAGAGACCACTTGCCCCATCCCAGCTCTACCTGTGTACCAGGCATAGTCCTGGAAACCACATAATCCATGGACATGGCATGCCTTGATTACACAGCCCTCCTCAGTTTCAGCCACAGTCTCAAATGCAGTGTGTTAAGGACCTAACTAGTGGTGGTAGTGGTGCTGGTACTTCTAACCACATGTTATATTTTGTTCAGGTATCTGACCTGTAGTCAGATGCTTGAACAACAAATGCCAGGATGATACCATTTCTTTGAAATGCAGGTGGTGGTTGTTGGCAATATATTATCTATTTCTCTGCCCCGAGTCACACTCAGGAAAGGTCGTAAAGGGAAGGACATGGCAGGCTGCAGTCAGGCATAATTGAATTAGCCAGGTTTTTGGATTGAATAAAGCATAGGAGTGTGCGAAGCACAGAAGTGTGGAGGATGGAAAAACTGAGAACAGAGAGAAGTATTGGGGGTTAGTTCTTTTCTAATCAGAGCATAACATTTGCCAGATTGCAAGACATTGATGTCCAGTGGTATTCCTCCCATCCCAGTCCATGTTCTCCTGGATGCTCAGTGGCTTGATGACTGTTTTCAGTGAAGGGGCAGATACTACATCCTGACACGAGTGCATTGCTGAATACCCCACCTATGACAAAGAGAGCAGAGAACTGTACATAGAGGTACTGCAGAAGCTGTGCTCAGTGTTTTAGACTGAAGAAAGATCTTGAAGATGTCTTCACTGTTGGTTCGGACTAAAAGTAATACCCTGAATTTGGAAGAATATTAGAAACATTTGTACACTGTCTGTTCCCCATAGCCCAATGTCTTTCAAATGAGCAGATGTTGATTGCAGTTCCATTATGCATTGAGTAAAAGCACAATTAAATTAGGCTTGTGCTGTGCTGTTGTCAGAGTGCACATGTGCAACCTCTCTCGTGTTGGTTATTGGCGTAGACGACTTCATGAGTGATCCTGTCCCTTCTTGGCAAGAAGGCACTGGCATATGTTTTGATTCTGTGAACAGAGAAATGGAAGATGGGGGATATAGAAACCTTGTAGTGGAGTCTACTAACGATGTGTGAACTGACATGCTACTATCATCTGCAGGAAACCAGTGAAAGGGACGGAATGACACTTCCCAGAAGTCCTGTCAGTCAAGGGAGCAAAGATCTGTAAGGTAGCTTTCCACCACCAAACTTTGAGCTGCATTTTTGGTGAAGTGAACAAGGCAAAGTCTAGCCTAAAATAAACCTCAAATAGCATCTAATGGAAGAGGTAAAGAGCATTGGCATTAAGTGGTTTGATCTACTAATCTGTTCTAATTCACCTCACAACTTGCTATGTAAACAAAATCTGTGACACCATATGTGCTCGCATTCGTGTTTCATTTTATTATTTCACATTTTGGCCAGTGCATGTAGTAGGAAGAAGATTGATAATCTGTCATAGAACAGCAGATTGTGCCTGGGTGACACCTGTGTATATTGCTTTGTACAAAATCCTGTTGTTTATCATTTTCATAACAGAAAAATTTAAAATAAGGAACAAAATATAATGTTTAAAGCAAAGCTCACATGCCTTAATGCTCCAATGATTGGAGCAGCTAGAGAAAACTTAAACAAATGCTTATTCTTAATTTGAATCTCCATGTACCTTCTGTCCAGATAAATTTTCCTGTCTTGCTTACATTGTGTTGACTATAAAAGCTTGCAATGAATGTTACTGAAATACATGATGCAGAGAATATCTACAGTGCAAATGTGGCAATAAAAATCAGGCATTTGTTTAAGTATTGCTTATGATTAGCACTTTTTTGATGAGTTTCCAATGTATTGATCTGGTGGAACCCACTTGCTTCTGTGAATTTACAAACCAAATTACTATGGAACTTCTGAAAAGCTTTTGAGTCGATGAGTGGCAACTTGCTGATTGTGGGAGTGATGCTTTGTTCTTAGTGCACATGCAAGTTCTGAAAGACATTAGGAAGCAAGATTTTTTTCTAGGATGTTCCAAATTAAAAGTAGTCAAGTAGTTTTTAAAAGAGAGGAGAAGGTGTTTTTAAAAGCAATAGGGCAAAATAC